GATAGGCAAGAAAATGGTAAGTGAACACCTGTCCAGCCTAGACGAGTTCAAATCACCAGGACCAGATGGATTACACCCCAAGGTTCTTAAGGAACTGGCAGATGTGATCTCAGAACCACTGAACTATATTTTTCAAAGATCCTGGAACACAGGGGAACTACCAGAGGACTGGAAAAGAGCTGATGTAGTTCCCATCTTCAAAAAAGGGGGAAAAAAGGACACAGGAAATTACAGACCTATCAGCCTGACCTCAATACCTGGGAAGATTCTGGAAAAGATAATCAAACAACGAATCAGTGAACACCTAGAGGCAAACAAAGTCATTACTAAAAGCCAACACAGGTTTGTCAAAAACAGATCATGCCAGACAAATCTTACTGCATTCTTTGACCAAGTGACAAAATTAGTGGACCAGAGGAATACTGTGGATATAATTTACTTGGACTTCAGTAAGGCATTTGACAAAGTAGACCACAACCTACTACTTGATAAGATAGAAAAATGCAGTTAGACAGCATCACCACCAGATGGATCTGTAGCTGGCTGACCAGCCGTACTCAGTGTGTGGTCCTCAATGGAACCGCATCTACATGGAGGGAAGTGTGTAGTGGGGTGACCCAGGGTTCTGTTCTGGGCCCAGTGCTCTTCAACATCGTCATCAATGAACTGGACAAGGGGATAGATGGGGAACTCATCAAATTTGCAGACGACATCAAGCTGGCAGGAATAGCCAACATTCCAGAAGACAGGCTTAGGATACAGGAGGATCTGGACAGACTTGAACACTGGGCGCTATCTAATAAAATGAAATTTAATGGTGAAAAAAGTAAGGTTCTACATTTAGGCAAGAAAAACCAAATGTACAGGTATAGTATAGGGGATACCTTGCTCAACAGTAGTAACTGTGAGAGGGATCTCGGAGTCCTAATGGACAATCATTTAAATATGAACCAGCAGTGTGCTGCAGCTGCCAAAAAAGCCAACACAGTGCTAGGCTGCATTAACAGAGGGATAGAATCAAGATCACGTGAAGTATTAATACCACTTTACAATGCCTTGGTAAGGCCACACTTGGAATACTGCATCCAGTTTTGATCACCACGATGTAAAAAAGATGTTGAGACTCTAGAAAGAATACAGAGAAAAGCAACAAAGATGATTAGGGGACTGGAGGATAAAACATATAAGGAACGGATGCTGGAATTGGGTATGTCTAGTTTAACGAAGAGAAGGACAAGGGGGGACATGATAGCAATATTCCAATAACTCAGGGGCTGCCATAAAGAAGAGGGAGTCAAGCTATTTTCCAAAGCGCCTGAAGGCGGGACAAGAAGCAACGGGTGGAAACTAACCAAAGAGAGAAGCAACCTAGAACTAAAGAGAAACTTCCTGACAGTTAGAACAATTAATCAGTGGAACAACCTGCCTCCAGAAGCAGTGAATGTACCAACACTGGAAGTTTTTAAGAACAAACTGGACAGCCATTTGTCAGAACTTTATCATTATTATTATTATTATTCTATTCTATTCTATCCTATCACATTGTTTTCTGTAATTTTCCTGCATTTTCCCCTCTTTTGCTATGCAACAAATTCTTCCATTTCAGTCCTTTAGGATCATTTTTTCTTCATGTCATCTGTAGCTGAATTTGTTCTCCTCATTTATTTTTAGCGTTTACTGCCCATTCTATTGTTAAACATTTCCTTGCCCATCAGAAGTGATCCACTATATTTGCTGCTACTGCAAAAATCAACTTACATTCATTCAATGGGACCTCTAGTATGAATAGTATTCTTTCTTGCCCAGGAAGGATTTATTTCAGAAATGCCTTTTGCTTTCATTCTTTAAAATTCAATTATAGTCAAAATATCAAAATAAAAAAAAATATTTCCCAACTGTAAGAGTCTATTTGTGTGAAGTTATAATTTCTTTCTTTCCCTTTTTTTTTGTTGCATGCCATGCTAAAAAAAATATTTTTTTTGCTCTATTCTCTCTTCAAGAACAGAGACTGAAATCTAAATAACAATCCTTAGAAGAAAATACATTAACAAATACAGGGAATGTTAAAATGGCTCTGCTACTCAGTCCATTCCTTTCCAGAGGCAGCCAAAAGAGAAGAACAGCATCACACTCGAGACACAAGATTCACCCTTTTTGTACGTGCACTGGGATGTCTAAGCATATACAAAATGGGCACAGCTCAGAACATAATGGCACAGGGTGACTTTCATCATTTTGATTTAAAAGCTCTAAATTGGCAAAGATCTTTTTTTTTTCAAACATCCATGCAAATTTTGAGCCATAAAGGTAAAATAGCTGCTCCGATTGACTGACTCGCAAATTAATTTCCAACTGAAATGAAGGAAGCTGCCTAGTCCTTCAAAAAAGTCCATCGATCCTGGAATTAACAATCACATCTCCCCCAGGGTTGTTCCAAGTTTGCCTGGGTTTTGGATCTCAAACTTGAGATGCCAATGACAGGTAGATCACTCTCAGCACTTCTGTCCATACATATCCTTTTGTAATACTTCTAACACCAGCCTTTCAGCTATGGTCTGACAGTCAGAACTGAGAAACAAAACCTTTTTTTCCCCTTGATCAGTCTCCCATTGGATTCCTACATGCAGTACACTGTTTATCCTATTATTTTCATCCTAACAATAATTCTGCAACAGCTTAACTTTAGTCCTATTTTACGCAGAGGAGTAAGAGGCCAAGACACAACGAAGGCAGCCAAGACTAATTAAGAGGCACCTAAATGTGAAGCACACATTATTACACGAGATGATGGAATACTTTGGATTGTAAATTGACTAGCATTTTAAGCCCTGATGATGTTGGCAGCTGCCGACGAAAGCTAGGCGTTTTTATTAAATTTTTATAGTAACTCCCTGGTGTTCATGTTTATTTATTTGTTTTAAGTATGGATATACCCAGGGATCATAATTTTAATGTTATCATCAACCTATCTCTCTCTCTCTCTCTCTCTCTCTCTCTCTCTCTCTCTCTCTCTCTCTCTCTGTGTGTGTGTGTTTTCTGAGGTTTTTGCGGGTGTTTGTATGTAGGTCTTTAGTTATTTGGGTTTTCTCCCATGTCAAATTGGAAGTGTCTTGGCGACGTTTCGACGAAGTCCCATTCGTCATCTTCAGGCTGGTGTTTTTGGCTTCTTGCTTCTAGGAGCAAGAAGCTGAAAACACCAGCCTGAAGATGACGAATGGGACTTCGTCGAAACGTCGCCAAGACACTTCCAATTTGATGCGGGAGAAAACCCGAATAACCAAAGACCAATATATATATTTAGGTTGCTAACAAAGAATAAAGAGAGAACTGGGATAGTTATTTCGAGTTTCTTAACTCTCTTCAGCCAGACTTACTCTTCTGAGATTCGAACCTGGGCTATATGTATGTTAGGCAGTTGTATTAACCTCTAGGCCACAGGCTCTTTCTCGCTTTGTCAGTTGTATCAGGAGAGAGACGGGGAGGAGATTTTACCTTGAATGTGCACCCTGTCAGCCCAAATATGGGAGAAAGAAATCTTCTTTCTTTTCTTTTCTTTTCTTTTGCCTGTATCATCTCAATCCAGAGCCATCCACAAGCAGCAGTCGCCAACTGGGACATCATTTTGCATTTTTAGGTTGCTAACAAAGAATAAAGAGAGAACTGGGATAACTATTTCGAGTTTCTTAACTCTCTTCAGCCAGACTTACTCTTCTGAGATTCGAACCTGGGCTATATGCATGTTAGGCATATATATATATGAAAAATGAACACCAGGATAAAAATAAACAAGACCATTTAATATAAACAACCCTGTAAGTAAAAAAGTTACTGAGCTTTCATCAGGCAAACTATTGACGTCATCAGAGTTAGAATGCTAAGTGATTAGGGAACTTGACTATATACAGCTGCCTGTCTCTGCGCCTGGCTTCTCAAGTGCGTCATTGGCCCATTAGTTATGTTAATCTGCAATGTGTTAAGTTGATTCTCATCCGGCAGCCTGTTGGTGGACCTGATGATTGTATTCCGATCCTCCATCACTTTTCTGATGCATGTGCAGATGCTTGGGGGGTAGCTGTCAAGCCGTCCCTGCTCCTTAACTTTCCTCCCTCTCATTTTGGAGTGATCTCTCAATCTGCATTTCAAATGCTCTGTGGGGCTGTCATCCTCTCCTAAGGCCGCCGTTGTTTCATCCTTAGCTCCCTCTCCCTGATCCTGCAAAGAGCAACTATTCAGATGTTCCTGCTTCATATTCCCCCCCTTTTGTATCTCCTTCCGAGCCGTTCATCATCTCCTCCCATAGCAGCTCTTGCCACCTCACCTTCAGCTGTCACTCCAGTCCTGCCAGTTGCTACCTCGTTGTGTTGTCACCTGGCCCCCCTCCTCTTTTGCCAGTTCGCTGTTCTCCCTAGGGATTGCAACTTCCCCATTTGTAGAGCCATGGTCTTGCTTTTGCACAATGTGGGGTGGCCATCTACTCTGTGGATTACCACGTTGTTTCTCCCACCTTCTGAGAGTCTGGTATGCTGGTAGGAGGTATATATATATATATATATATATATATATATATATATATATATATATATATATATATATATAATGAACACCCTGTCAGCCCAAATATGGGAGAAAGAAATCTTCTTTCTTTTCTTTTCTTTTCTTATATATATAAGACATGGTTAAAAGATAGCTTCTCCATCTTCTGGAATCAACATACTATTAATTACACTATGAGAAGTGATTTTTCTAATAAAACCAAAGTTCCCTTTTTTGTTAAATGAACATTAAGTATCAAGATAGATCCAGAGCTGGTACGGAAATAGCCAAATCGTCTCACAAAATAAATATTACAATGCTCGCAATCTTCACCTGAGACAATAAGAATATTGTCCATAGCATGCCTCCACAAGGGAGTGGGTTAGCTTTAATAAAAAATAACAAATAAATTAAGCAGAATAAAACTCAAAAGATAGTGTAGATGAACTTGGCGGGGGAAGGATAGAAGAATCTGGTTTCTCTTCAGATCGTATAAATCTTTCGCCTTTTACTAAAGATTTCCGTGGAGAGGAGCATTTATGAGTTTTTATGGCAAGAAAATATTCTTCAGTCATGGTTTCAATATTTACAAATAGTGGACAGGTGGACTGTAGATAAGAAAGAAGGAATAACATTAGAAGATGGAAATCTGGTTATTCAGATTAAGGATCAGAGTCAGGCCCACATAAAAAGAATTTACAAGGCTTTAATAGAATTAGACTCTGAAACAGAATTGGTTAAAGACTGTTTAATGGGCTCAGAATATCCAGGAACCGATCCCACTGGACTCATGGGAGATAATTTGGATCAGAAATGTTAAATTTACACAAGCTCAAAATTTGAGGGAAAATGTTTATAAAATGTTTTACAGATGGCATCTAGATCCTAAAAAATTATCTTGTACGTATCCAAATTTACAACCCAAATGTTGGAGATGTGGTAATATGGATGCGACATATTTTCACGTTTGGTGGAATTGTAAAAAGGTAAAGGCTTTTTGGATTATGATTTGGTGGAACATTCAAAAGATTTTTAAAAGGGAGATAAAGTTTACCCCTCAATTATTCCTATTGGGTATTTTTGTGGATTTAAATGACAAAGAAACTACTTTAATGTTGAATTTATTAATTGCAGCAAGGTTACTTGTAGGCTCATATTGGAAGAAAGATTCGTTGCCTACTTTAGAAGAATGGATATTTAAAATTTCTAACTTTGCAGAAATGGTAAAAATTTCTGCTTATTTGAAGGATCATACACAAGAAAGATATATTATTGTATGGAGAAGATGGATAGATTATATTCAGAAAAAGTATGGGACTACAAAGTTTCATTTACTTTATGAGTAAATTTTATAGCAACTGTTGTAGAGATTTGTTTATATGACTTAATTTAAGGGGAGTTAAAGGTTAAGTATGATGTTTTTTTCTTTTCTTTTTTTTCTTTTATTATTGTTAACTTTCTTATTAATAACCCTGTACTCTGCTCTGGGAAGTGAGGGGGGGAAGGGTTGAGGGTGGGTGGGTGGGTGGGTGGGTAATGATAATATAGTCATGGCAAATGCTTGGGCATTTCCCCTATGCTGCGTTCATGTGGGTGAGAGGGATGAGAGGGGAGGTAGGTGCAGGGAGGAAGTAGGATGGTTAGAGGAGAAGGGGAGGGGAAGAGAGTAGGAGGAGAGGAGAGAAAGAGGAGGGAAGTAGGGAAGGTACTAGAGAGGGTGGATGCGGCCTGGGGGGAATGGGCAGGCGGTACCAATGGTTAGGAATTTATTTTATCTTGTGAATTGAATTGAATTGTATTTTATATGAATAAATGGAAAATAAAAAAAAATTAAAAAAAAGAAGAAGAATCTGAGCAGTTGGTGAATTCCAATTTTTTGTTGCTCTCATGGGAGACTGGATACAATCGCCTACATAATTATGGCCTTGTTCACTAAATAGTGCACTGAATGAGAATTGCACTCCAAGGCAGATTCTTCAACCAGTCCATTGCATTAAACTGAGTGAAAGGGAAACTGGACTTATTAAAATATTCCTGGAACTATTTGTCTCTCTCTCCCCCCCTCTCCCATCTATTTATCTCCCTCTCATCTGTCTGTCTGTCTGTCTGTCTGTCTGTCTGTCTGTCTCTGTCCGTCTGTGTCTGTCTGTCTATCTGTCTATCTATCTGTCTGTCTGTCTATCTGTCTATCTGTCTGTCTATCTATCTATCTATCTATCTATCTATCTATCTATCTATCTATCTATCTATCTATCTTCTGGTTATTTATTTATATCCCGCCTTTATTATTTTTACAAATAACCTAAGGCAGCAAACATATTCAACACACCTTCCTCCTCCTATTTTCCCCATGACAACAACCCTGTGAAGTGAGTTGGACTGAGAGAAAGTGACCGGTCCAAAGTCCCCCAGCTGGCTTTCATGCCTAAAATTGGAGAAAGTTCAAGAAATTACAGTCTCCTGGTTTCTAGCCTGATGCCTTAAATATCAGACCAAACTGGTTCTCAGTTTAAACCATGGTTTACTCAATTAGTCCACTGAACCACAAGTGGGTACCCGGACTGGATTTGCAATCCCTTCTATGTTAAAATGCGTTTGGCTCGTTTGTGATGCAGTTCTGCTCTTGAATTAGTTTTATCTGAAGGAGAAGAGGAGACAAAGACCAGCAGAGCTATCAAAGAATAACTCTATTTCAAAAAGATATTTTATAAAAAAAAATAATCAACTTTTGACTTTGGGACTTGAGGATTAAATTTGATCTGAATATGGAAATAATGTGGTTAGAGTTAAGATTAGAGATTTTTAAATACATGGCTATTCATATTTGACAATTTATTACAAGTTAAAACTAGGAGAAGACTATAACATGAATATTAGTTTTTTAGAGTGTCATTGGTATTTTAAGCTAGTTTAAATATTAAATAGTCATTTAAATAGAGAGAGGGTGTTACATTGTATTATTTTTAAACTGAAAAATGTTGGAGGTCGCTTTTGTTTTATATTTGTTCGATGTATTCCTGTGTCGCTTTTTAATCTGTCCTGTTATTCCCCTCCTCTTTTCTCACCTTTATATTACTTTGTATTTTAATATTTGTTTATGAAATACAATAAAGACATTTGCAAAGTACCCGAAAAGATTAAGTTGCTTTAAAGCAAGCCAGGATCAATGTGTGGAGAAAGGCAAAACTATTATTATTGCTTAGAAAGGGACCATCACTGTAGCACAGGGACTGGTTCTGTGGAAAGAGGCTTTTCTGTGGACAGGAGGGGGGGTGGTTTTGTGTGCTGCCTGCATCTCGTGGATGGGGCTTTGCTTTCTTGTGTGGACCGGTTGCTGACATGCCGCGCCCTGGTACTGGTCCATGGACTGGGGGTTGAGGACCTCTGTTGTAGCAGGCAGTGCAGTTCAATGGACTAAAGATAGTCCTTAACTTACAAACATTCAGTGACCAACAGCACTGAAAAAAGTGACCTATGACCACTTTTCAACCTTATTAGCATTGCAGCATCCTCATGGTCATGTGATCTAAATTTGAGCACTTGTCTTTGGGTGATCATGTAATCACCATCTGCAACCTTCCCAGCTGGCTCCTGACAAATGAAGTCAGTGGGGGAAGCCATTTGCTTAACAACCTTATGATTCATTTAATAACTGCAGTGATTCACTTAACAACTGCGGCAAAAAGGTTGTAAAATGAGGCACAGCTCACTTAACAAACGCCTGGCTTAGCAATGAAAATGTTGAACTTAATTGTTGTTGTAAGCTGAGGATTACCTGTAACTGAGTAAACTATTTTTCAGTTGTAATATTGTACACAAACTGGTTCATGCCCATCCCTTATGACACTGTTTTAACTTTTGCAGAATCTCTGGGACCATCGGCTTTGTTCATAAGTCTCCTCTGTTAAGAAAACACATGCCGATCCTGACAGGTGTCCTTGGATGGGTCTGCTATTTGGCAAAAGGGCCATTTGTCATTAAGTATCTTGAGCCAAACTACCAGATGCTCTCCATCCTCACCACTAAAGTACTAGAGGGGTTGCAACATTTGCTGCACACAAAGCTCCCGCACAAAGTTAGAAAAATCACCGTTCTGCTAGTTCAACTTATAGTTCTAGGACTATTCCCACAAAGATGGGATATAGCTCTGGTTGACATTTATTTTAAAGATATGGGTCTATTAGTGCCCAAGTTGAAGAATAAAGTCTTCAGAACGTGTTTTTCATGAAAGAGAGATGGCGATTTCTGGTTTGGATTAGTACATTCATGCTCACCAAGCATTCAGTGACAGTATGGCATGATTTTGTGCAGCAAATTAATGTTGCAGTGCTGAAAGAGAGGTGCTAGTTGCTCCAATCTCCTATATAGGAAATAATTGGACAACTCACCTCTTCCTCCATTGTGTGGCCAGAACAGAGACTAGATGAGCACAGAGGACTAAGATGTAGCTATCCACTGCAGTATTTGAAACAGAGTCTCAAATCACAACCTAACTGCATCATGAGTTTTCTCTGACAAATACCAATTCTGACCCCATATTTATTCTAGGAACACTATAAGAATGTTACCCCTAAGATCTGGATTTATATGTCCACTCTTCTTCTAATGTGATGTAGTTCACTGTTTCTTTCGTATGTTGCTCACATGGGCAGTCCCTGTGCAAAATAATAAATACGGTATCAGAAATCGCAACAGCCCTGTGAATGGAACACTTCTTTTTTCTAAACTCTTCTGACACTGAATTACAAAGAATTATAAGCCGAAAATAGCTGAACTAGAATTAATCAAGAGATTTAATTTTATTGTTCAAAGACTGAACGGAGCCAAAGTCCATTACCATAAACTACATGTGTGTGACAATCAACAGCTGTGTTGCCAATGATCACAGCCAATTTTGTAAACATCTCTTCTGTACCTTCTGCAATTCAGCACTCTCTGGGCTTCTTCTTCCCCACCAATCACAGTATAGATTAAGCTTCTCACTCAGGGTTGTACCTCTAATGAAGTTGGCAATGGTGCACAGAGGTTTACAGCGTGGAGGAAGAAATGGCAGACTGAAGACTTTAGGAATCTTCCTCAAACCACTATAGTCAGCACCTTTGAAAGGACACTAATTCACATAATTCTGTTTCTAACCACTTTCCGAAATTGCTGGTTAACTGTTTTTCAACTATTAGAAATCTTCATATTGACAATTTCACGGCACTATGTGAGTTTCTCTCCTTACAATGACAGAATGGAGCAAAATATTCAAAGTTGGACATATTGAAGAATATTTTTGGAAAAATGAGATATTAATATTAATAGTGTCAATAGAAACATCTGCCTCTATGAAGACAAAGTGTCTAAAACAGTGGTTCTCAATCTTTTTAATGCCGCAACCCCCCAACCGGTCGTAAGTTGAGGACTACTCAACCGGTCGTAAGTCGAGGACTACTCAACTGGTGCAGCACCATTTGCAGAATGGGACTTTTGGCGGGCTCAGCAAGAGAGTCTATTCTATTGGCTTTCAAAAGCCAATAGAATAAAAGGGAGTAGCACAGCTAAGGAAAAGGGGGGAAAAAATGGCGGACTGCGTTGTTTGGCG